TTAAATGGTCTTATTTCCTTGCCGTCGTTATCGTTCATTTCTTCTACGTCTGACACTCGTTTACATTGTACTATTTTCACTCACACTCGTGTTTCATATGAACAAGTTGCCTGATGCGACATCGTGGATCAAAAGTACGACTATTGTAACAGCGAAGAGATATAGCGGCCATCATTTAGCTATTGTTGTTCCATATCGCAATCGGTATGATGAGCTACTCATTTTTCTCCCATATATGTCGAGCTATTTGAAGAGTCAACAGATCAAACATGAGTTTCTCGTCGTCAATCAAACTGATACTCATCGATTCAATCGTGGTCAACTGATTAATGTTGGCTATTTGGAATGTGATCCTTCTTACATTGACTACATGGCGATGCATGATGTCGATCTTCTGCCATTGAACAGACAAGAGTTGAAGTATCTCTATCCGTCTCGGGGTCCAATTCACATTGCTTCTCCCAGCTATCATCCATTGTACACGTATCCGAAATATGTCGGTGGTATTCTGTTGATAACTCTCCAACATTTTCGACAAGTGAATGGAATGTCAACAGACTACTGGGGTTGGGGTCAAGAAGACGATAATTTCTTTGTACGATTAAGACTGGCTGAGTTGAGCATTTATCGCCCATCGAACTTGACACTGACGAATCGGACAAATACATTTCGACATTTGCACAATTCGTCAAGTGACAAAGCTCACAAGCGAGATAATGTCAGATACGGTCTCCAGCGACAACATAATCTCAAATTGCACTTGGATAAAGGATTAAATACAACAAAATATGAACTAGTCGATCGATATCAGATAACTGTGGATGGCGATGAAGATATCGTTTGTACCGTATTGAATGTGAAACTAGAATGTGATTTTCAGGAAACACCATGGTGTGATCATCCGTCGTCGATCAATGAGAGTATTAGAGTAGCATTATGATCACCACTACTGTCCAAAATAACTATGCAGAGAATGTCTTCTGCCACGAAATCGAAGGCACTTTTATCGATGTTTTCTTCCTCCATACTCTGTTGTTTAGCCACTATTGTAATAAGATGTCAGTTGTGTATGTTTGCTGAAAACCCCCTTTTGTGAATCTCCTTATGTGAAAAAATTAATCTCTGTCAATAGAAGGACTAGTTTTGCTGATATCAGACATTTTGGATTCTAGAACCGTATGCTTTATCTTATTGAATTGAAAAGGTCTGAAGAGGAGAATTCAGTTAGTTTATCCTTGAATGATGTGTTTTCTGTTGAATGAATGTCTTTGACTACGTCCAGTTTGTCTCTGACATAATTTAGATAATTAATTATTGCTTTTTTATGTATTTGTAATTTCGCTTCTTACTATTTGACTTTTTATAATGTTTTGGTTTGTTTCTAGTCAGATAAATTTGTTTATTGCTGCACTAATGCTTCCAGAAACAGTAAACACTTTGTTCTCGCATGTTAAAAGAGTTGTTTTTGTGTGTATCGATTCTTATTCTAACTAACAATAAAAATGTTGTTCTTGTCATAGCTCTTTGTCATTGTTCATTGATTAATATGAAAAGGATCGTTGAAACTTCGTAGTTCTATTTAAGATGCACAATGTCAGGCTCGTTTCCTCGAGTTGTTGTTACTGGTATGGGTGTTGTGTCACCATTGGGCGTTGGGATTCGAACACATTGGCAACGTTTGTTAGATGGTTATTGTGGTATTGTAAAACTGA